AATGCACCAATAAACAAAGATGGGAAAAAATGGCAATATAGGAATGGAAGCATAGCTCAGTGATATAGGACTTTCTTAGCAGACATGAAGCCCCAGGTTTAATTCCAAGCAACACACACACGCACGCACACACATACATACACACACAATAGGATAATAATAATATTCATCCAAGCAGGGTTGCTATGACAATTAAACAAGTTAATACATAAAATACACTAAAGCAATTATCCAGTGTTTGGCCCAGAGCCATCACCTATATATGAGGTGCTATTGTTGGAATCTACTTTATGGTCTAGTTGTCAATTTTGGTATATTTGTGCTATAATTTATTACAAGCATTTTAATGCTTGTTCTATAATCATTTGCTGCAGGGTCTACATATGTATTAGATCAAGATTACTTAACGCTTCTACATTCTTTTACATTTTTTTGTTTGTCTAATTTTTCTTTTTAAAATTTATTCGTTGTTGTAGATGGATGGAATACTTATTTATTTATTTGTATGTGGGATTGCTGAGGATGGAACCCAATGCCTCACATGTGCTATGCAAGCGATCTGCCACTGAGCTACAGCCCCAGCCCTCTGTTTGCCTAATTTTTCAACAGAAAGCTGCGCTATAATCATCTATAATGATCATAGATTTGTCAATTTTACTTATAATTCTGTGAATTTATAATTAAAAATTCTGTGAATATATAATTAAAAATAGTTAATATTATATATAATATAAAAATTCAGAATTATTATGCCATATTATTTATTTAATTTTTAGGTGTCTCCCTTCTTGTAGAGTTCTTTATTTTTCTTCCTTCTCTCTCTCTCTCTCTCTCTCTCTCTCTCTTTTTGTGGTGCTGGTGATTGAACCTTGGTGTGCTTCATCAGTGAGTTACACTACAGCCCGTTTTTTTTTTTTTAAATTTCAAGATAGGGTCTTGTTAAGTTTCTCAGCCTGACTTTGAACTTACAATTCTCCTTCCTCAGTCTCCTAGAATTATAAATGTGTACCACCTATTCCCAGAGCATTGCATCCCATTTCTTCCTCAGTCTTCCTCAGTGGCTGGAATTATAGGGGTGTGCCACCTGTGCCCAGAGCATTCCATTTCGTTGAGGGGTTGTTTTAATATGGTGTGTTTGTCAGCTTTTCATTGCTGTGACAAACACTTGAGAAAAACAACTTAAAAGAGGAAAGATTTATTTTGACTAACAGTTTCAGAAGTTTCAGTTCATGGTCAGCTTACTCCAAAGCAGAAACACCATGGTGGAAGGGTATGGCAAGAAAGAAGCCTCCCAGCTTATGGCAACAGGGAAAATAAAAGGCAGAACCCTCATTCTCATCTGAAACTTCAGAAGCACAGTCTTTATTGTTTGCATTTTTATCTCTTCCAAGATCACACCAGAACTGTCCATTAAGCTCTGACTATAACATTCTAAGGTTTCTCTAGCCAGCATCTCTAAGCTCTTCTAAGTCCTGCAAACCAGTTCAAATGGCTTCTGAACACATAACCAGATATAGTCAAAGCAATGACCCCACTGCTTGGTACCAATATTCTGTGTTAGTCAGAAACAACCTAGAGAAGGAAAGGTTTATTGTGGCTCATAGTTTTGGAGGTTTTAGTCCATGGTCAGCTGGATACATTGTTCTGGGCCTGCAGTGAGTCAGAACATTATGGTGAAAGGGTGTGGGAGACAAAAGCATCTGGGAAGCAGAAATAGAGAACACAGGGGGTAGAGACCATGGACAAGGTATAGTCAAGGGCATGGCCCTACTTTCTTCAACCATGCCCTGCGTGTTTAAAGTTTCTACCTCCTCCTAGTAGTCCATTCAAATTATTGTTTTTTTTTAAAGAGAGAGAGAGAGAGAAAGAGAGAGAGAGAGAGAGAGAGAATTTTTGATACTTATTTTTTAGTTTTCGGCAGACGCAACATCTTTGCTTGTATGTGGTGCTGAGGATGGAACCCGGGGCGCAAGCATGCCAGGAGAGCGCGCTACCACTTGAGCCACATCTCCAGCCCCCCATTCAAATTATTAATCCATCAAATGGATGAGTTCACAGATGGTCCAATCACTTCCCAAAAGCTCCACCTCTAGACATTGCTGTGTCTGGGACCAAGTCTTCAATAAATGAGTTTTTTGGGGACATTCCAGATCCAAACCATAACTTATGGGTTCTCCAGTTTTCTTTTGGTAGGTTTTTTGCATAGTATATTTTAAAAATTCTATTACTTTCAAATTTCTGAGTCCTAAGTTTGAGTGTGCTCTAAGTCTTGTAAGAAACAGTTGGATACCCAGCTGATGTGTGACTGTAATCCCAAGTACTCAGGAGGATTGCAAGTTCATGGCCAGTATGAGCAAATTTAGCAAAATCCTGTCTAAAAATAACATATAAAAAGGGTTGGGGGTGAGGCTGGATCATGGCTCAGTGGTAGAGAGCTTGCCTAGCATGTGTGAGGCACTGGGTTCAATTTTCAGCACCACATATAAACAAATAAATAAAGGTCCATCAATAACTAATAAAAATATTTTTAAAAAAAGAGTTGGGGGAGCTGGGTGCTGTGGTGCCTGCGTGTAATCCCAGTGGCTCAGGAGGCTGAGGCAGGAGGATTGCCAGTTCAAAGCCAGCCTCAGCAACAGTGAGGCACTAAGCAACTCAGTGAGATCCTGTCTCTAAATAAAATGCAACATAGGGCTGGGGATGTGGCTCAGTGGTTGAGTGTCCTTGAGTTCAATCCCCAGTACCAAGTAAATAAGTAAATAAGTAAGTAAGGGTTGAGGGTGTAGTTCAGTGGTAGAGACCCCTGGGGTTCAATCCTGTTTTAGATGCTTTTTTGCTGCTGTGACTAAAAGATCTGACTGGAACAATTGTAGAGAAGATAAAGTTTCTTTGGAGGTTTACGGTTTTAGAGGTCTTAGTCCATAGAAGGCTGATTCCATTTCTTGAGGGCTGGAGATGAGGCAGGACATCTTGGCACAAGAGTGTGGTAGAGGGCAGCAGCTCACATGATTATCAGGAAGCAGGAAGTCTCCACTTGCTAGACACAAATATATACCCCTAAGCCATGCCCTGATTCCTACCTCCTCCAGCCATACCCTACCACTTCAGTTACCACTCAGTTAAACCCTATCAGGGAATTAATCCACTGATTGGGTTAAGACTCTTACAACCCAATATTTTTTTCCTCTGAACCTTCTTGCACTATCTCACAGGTGAGCTTTTGGGGGACACCTCACATCCAAACCATAACAAATCACCAGAACAAAGACAAAGAAAGAAAGAGAAAGAAAAGAGGGAAGGAGGTCAGTCAGAGTTTCTTTTTCTCTTTTTTTTCATTTCCTTCTGTACCAATAGGAAGTTTCTATTATAATTATAACGCTTTCTGATGTATTTATGTAAATTTCTATAAACTTTTTTTGGTGTATGATCTCTATTTATTCTGATTTTCTCTGCTTCTTTTTCTCCTTTTTCTTTTTAAAGCTTTTGTTGGTTTGAGCAAGTATTTGTTTTACTGTTTCATTCTGCTTGACTAATTTGGAAGTTAAACATTCCAGTTCTAGTCCATGAGTGGTTTACTTTAAAATTTTGACATACAGTACAAAACATCAAACAGTCATTTTGTCTACTTTCTTTTGAGCAAAACAAAGTCTTTGGAATCCTCAGCTCTACTCTCTATTCAAAGTTGTTTTTTCCCCCAATATTTTAATTCTCCCTATAATAGTAGCTCTTATTATTATTGGGTTTTAAATTCCCATTATTCATTATTATTATTTTATATTTATATAGTCAGTCTTTGTATAAATATACCCACTTCTTTCCAAGTTTCTTCGCTCATGCTTCTTACTTATAGATGAATATCTGTATGGACTCTGTTATTGGTATAGTATTTGTCTTAAAATATAGTATTTGTCTTTTTGTGTGTGTGTGGTACTTGGGATGAAATACAGGGCCTCAGGCATGCTAGGCAGGTGCTCAACTGCGGAACTAAATTCCCAGACCCTTTTAATTTTGTTTTGTTTTGAGACAGAATCTTGCTAAGTTGCTGAGGCTGCCCTTAGACGTGGAATTCTCCTGCCTCAGCCTCCTGAGTCACTGGGATTACAGGTGTGCTCCAACCTGCCTGGCTTCTTCTTCTTCTATTTAAGTAATGTGGTCTTAATAGGTTGCCCAGGTAGGCCCCAAACTTCTGGATTCAAGAGACCCAACTGGTTCATCCTCCTGAGGTTGGGACTATAGGCATAAACCACAATTTAAGCTTGAATATAGCACATAATTTATAGTATAGTTATTTTCTCTTAGCACTTTGATATTTATTGATATTTATTTATTGACTTCTGGTTTCTATTGTTGCTATTAAGAAATCTGTTGACACTAATTGTAGGTCATTCTTCTTTGTAGACAATTTCTGTTTTCTCTTTTCTCCCTGATTTCACACAAAATTATTTTTTATTTTTATTTTTTGTATTTTTTAAGGTTTTGTACCTGCATATGTTTAAATTATTCTGCTTCAGTTTAATTTTTATTTACCCTATTACATTCTCATTGAACCTCCTGAATATATCCTCTATCAATTCTGAAAAGTTCTCATCCATTGTTACTTTAAATACTGCCCCTCCATCCTTTCTTTGTTTTTAAATTTATGAATGTCTATTATATTTATGTTGGGCCTTGTTATTCTACTCTATAAATCTCTTATCTGCTCTTAAATTTTTCTTGCCTCTTTGTCTTTGGACTGCATTCTAATTTTCTCAGATCTATCTTCTACTTTGCTAGTTCTCTGTTGTATTTAATCTAATGATTAATACACTTCTTGAGGGTTTTAACATTAAATCAATAAGATGAAAAACTGCTCTTTTGACAATGGTAACTTTTTACCAGAGATAATTTTAATACCTGTATTTCTTAAATAAAACTTATCAGGATATTTCCTCCACTTCTTGACAAGATCTAATTTACATTACACTGTTTTTGTGTTTATTTGTTTGTTTTGTTTTTTCCATGTGCCTCCTCCCCCCATTCACAATATAGATCAGGCCCATGTCACTGGCTGATTTGTGCATGGGGTATGTTTGCTGTGTCTCCTTTTTCTACACAGTCTAAGAACATAGTCTGTGGTAAGCATCAGGAGGCCTGAATACTGCTTTTTAACCTTCTGTTTAGAATAATCTTGTTCAAATCAAAATCCTAAAATTGTCTTGTCCTAAAATTCCTCTGGTGTGTATTCTCTTTTACTGTAGGAAACTAAATAAAGCTAACTTGTTTTTGACTATAAGCATGCTTCTGATCTTTGGGTAATATCTTTTAACAAATTGTATTTTTATTGTCTATATATTCTATCTGGTGTGTTTGTAATTTTTTAATTCTGACTGTGATTTTCTTTCCTATGCTTTCTATTCTTTCATTATAGCTTTTAATTATTTTAAACATATTTAATTTTATCCATTCCAGCTCTATCTGATACTCTTAGTAACTGAAGTTGTGGAAATATAATCCTACTGTTGGCTAATTTTTGTTAAAAATGAATTGCTTTTCTAGGTACTTTATAATTTCTTAGTGTAATTCCATCTTTAGTTTGATACTGTGTCTTTTCAGAGTGAATCTGTGCTTGTTTTTATTCTGTTAGGTGCACCAAGGACAATACCATTCCAGTGCCAATAATTTTTTTAGTTGGCTGATTTTTCAGTTATATTTTCCATAGGATGCAAAGATACAATTCACCCTTTTTAAATGTATGTATGCTTGTGTGTATGTTACTAAAGATGGATCCAAGGGGTGCTCTACCACTAAGCTACATCTCCAGATCTTTTTATGTTTTATTTTGAGACTGGATTTTGCTAAGTTGCCAAAGCTGGCCTTGAACTTGCAGTCCTCTCACCTCAGCCTCCTAAATATCTGGGATTACAATTGTGTGTCACTATGCCCACCCATCTCCTTCTAAAATATGCTCAATAAGATTTTATAAATATATATGTTTATGTAAATAAACATCACATAAATGTATGTGGAACATTTCCATCATCTGGGAGGTCTTATTCCAGGCCAATTTTCAAGATAGTATGTTATTTTGGGGATTTCTAGAATAGGGGAGGTATGAAGTATACATGTGAGCCCCCTAATCTCATGAAGCTTAAATCTAGATCAAGGAGACTTTTAAAACAAACAAAACTCTGAATATGGTCTAAGTCAAATAACCTTCCTTTATTATCTACCTCTTACCTACTAGGAAGACTTTCCCCCCTAGTTCAGTCTTTCCGTATGAATGTAACTTTTTAATGTTTTTGGTATTTTAAGGATGTCTTAACTACATATTTCTCCCTTGTATGGCCCTAAGGTCTCAAGTCCTATCCTTCATGGGCTTTAAACACAAACTCCATGGTCAACTAACCCCACAATGCTGCTGCTGCCTCAGTTTCAGCTGCTAGGCTTACTATTCGACTTTTAGGCCCCAATCCCTGCCCCCCTCAATTTTTTGGAGTACTGGTGATTGAACCCGGGGACATTCTGTTACTGAGCTACATCCACAGCCTTTTTTTAATTTTGATACAGGGTTCTCATCAAATTGCTGAGGGTAGCCTTGAATTTGTGATCCTCCTGCCACCCAAGTCTCTATTATTATTATTAGTTATTGGGGATTGAACCCAGGACTCTTTACCACTGAACTACATTCCCCAGCCCTTTTTAAATTTTATTTTGAGAAAGATTCTCTCCCTAAATTGCTGAAGCTGGCCTCGAATTTGTAATCCTCCTGTCTCAGCCTCCTGATTCACTGGAATTTTGGGTGTACCATTGTGTCTGGCTCTACCCTTTTTGGATTCATACATTTTGTTGAAGTATAACATATACAAAGAACAGTACACTCATCATAAGTGTACATATAACTTAATATCTTTTAGAGAGTGAGCATATGTATGTAACAAGCACCTGGATAAAAAGAATACTACTAGAACTTTCCTAGTGTCCTTTCTAATCACTACCCTCTCAAGGGTATCAATATTCTCACTTCTAACACTGTAGGTCAATTTTGCCTATTTTTGAAATTCACATAAATCATACAGTGTGTACTCCTTTGCGTCTATCTTCCATTGTTTATCATTACATTTCTGAGGCTCACCTGCCACATTGCTTCATGTAGTTGTAGTTTGCTTATTTACTATATATTAGTCCATTGCATCAATGTAACAGGATTTATACTGTAGGTGCTCATTTGGGTTGTTCCATTTTTTTCTTTTGCTTATTAGAGTCTGAACTTTTTCCTTACTTTTATCGAGCTCTTCTGTGAATTTAAAAAGCATTTTCTGGTCAGCACAGCAATTCTAGATGGTCTGCATCAGGAGAACTTTTAGGTCTCACAGGCTGCCAAACTTCCTGACAATAAGTTTCTTTTCTTTATTTTTCTTGCTGAAATTCTTACTTGATTCTTATCTGATTTACTTCAGCTGAGCACTTAATTCTTCAGACGGCCCTCTATAAAAATGATTTTGATTCCTGTGAGCCAATAATGAATGAACAAAACAGAATAGAGATGAGATATGTAATTAATTTTGGTAGTCATTATCTCTTGTCAGTTTGGGATGTTGCATGTCTAAGGTTAATTTACTGTTAAAAAGTATAAAATATTGAAAGGGCATGTTAAAGAAATAGAGTGGCTGAAGACAGCAATAGTAGGAACTGTAGATTTGGTTGTTTGGGTCCAGGGTCTCCTGATTGGTTGACAATGGGAATATTAAATAAGAGGAAAATTCTCATGATGACTCAGTAAGCACATAATCAATATATTGCCCGAAAAGGCACCCCAAAGTGGGGCTACCGTTAGCCTGCAAAAGTAATTATTCTACTAGTTTAGTAGTTCTCAACTGGGGGCAATGTTTTCCCTCCAGAGGATATTTGGCAATATCAGGAGATATTTTGATAGTCAAGCGACTGGCATCTAATGGGTAGAGGTTAGGGATGCTGCTAAACATTCCAAAATATGCAGTATAGCTCCCCACAACTAAATTCTATTCAGTCCTAAGTATCAATACCTCCAATATTGAGAACCTCTCTATTAGGCCTATGAATGAGACACTGGAGCTAAATCAAGAGTGTATTTAAATAAACACTGTAAAAAAAACTTCAAAAAATAAGAGTCAAGCTGGGCTTAGTGTTGTGTAATGCCAGATTCGTGGGACCCAACAGACCTCAAGGAGCCCAATTCGATGCAATCACATGAGTCTTTATTGCAAGCTTGAGCCTGGACTCTCAAGGGAAAATATCTGAAATGCCAGGTGACCCTCCCAGCAGTTTCCGTGATTGATAGCATGATTAGGCAATCCTGCAAGTTTAGTATATACACTCTTGCAATCCCTTACGGCCTAAACCAATCAGTTCAAATGTATCCACCACGTGGACTAACCAATCACCCTTACCCAACTTGTTCTGACAGTGAATGTGCTAATCAATGTTAAGAGTTGTTGTTTGATTTTCCCGTGGTATGAAATGATTTGCTGTGTGATGTTGTCATGCATAGAGTATCCCCCCCAAAAAACCTATAAATCCTCACTAAACTAAGGGTTGGCGCTCACTCCTTGGGACCCCTTCGTCAGAAACGGTTGTGAGTCCAGGCTCAAACTTGCAATAAAGACTCCTGTGTGATTGCATTGGATTCAGCTCCTGAAGGTCTATTGGGGTCCCATGAATCTGGAGGCCCTAAGCAACTTAGCAAGAGACTGTTACAAAATAAAAAATAAAAAAGGGCTGGGGATGTGACTCAATGGTTAAGTATCTCTGACTCTAGTATCAAAGGGAGTGGGGGGGCCATAAATATATGCAATTTTTATTTGTCAGTAAATAATAATAATATTGTCCCAAAGTTTGTATCTTAGTTTTGATCAGTGTACTGGGGAAGCAAGTTGAAAAGTTTATGGAAATTGCCTATATAATCTTTGTAATTCTTCTGTAAATCTGAAATTATTTCAAAATAAAAATATTGAAAATGCACTACAGGACCAAAAAAAGAAAAAAAAAGGTGGGGGCGGGGGGCGGAGAAGAAGTTACCGAGGGGCACATTCTATGATTCCATCCAAATTCTGACACTGCGGATAGTTCCAGTTCACAATTGGCTCAGTCAATTCTTTTCAGTTTTAATAAAATGACTTGAATGGAAGGTAAAAATAAATAGTTACACACAGCAATTTATAGTCATTACACTTAAGCAACAAAATTTCCCTATAATTTATGCCATTTATTTTATTTTACTATTCAAAATACTAAAATTTTAAGGCCAACAGAGTAAATCAGGTGTGAAAATGGCGTTAGAATAACAAAGATTTAGATTTTGATGTGTCTTACAATTAGACTATAAGGTATCCTTTTTCTTTTGTTCACACATTTTTGCAGTTTATATTTAGAACAAAGCTAAATTTTATTTCTCCAATGGAGTTGATGATCTAAATTTGCCTCTTCTTCCTCTAGGCAGCACATACTCACCTCTGTTCTTTTGATTCATTTCCCCTAGAAAGCCGAGAAGGAGTTTTGTAATGATATTATTGGTTTTGTAACTGGTGTTTCCATTGTAATGCTATTACTGAAGCAGTGTTGTGATAAATGGTCTGTTTAAAAGGGGAATCACTTTTACAAGAAGTAGAAAATTAGACACGCTTCTGCTTTGCAATAACAATAAAAACCACAGTGAAAAAAATATTCTCCAGTTTATTCCCATCTATATCAGCAGGGAAGCTTTAGAAGATGACTTTTTTCCTAAAGTCTTCCAAACACGATTATTGCCTACAAGTACCATGTCAAAGTGCAGATTTCCTCCAAAGCCCATTGAAGACCAATACATTCTTAAGCTTATCATAACATGGGCCCTTTAAGAAAGCCAGGCGCCTCAAACTCCACCCCTCTGCTGACTAGAAGCAGTCAAGCTGCCTTTCCAAAGCAGTTAGTTTAGTGATAAAGCTAAGGGAGAGCTAATTTGCCCCCTGCTCTGCCTGGAAGGAATTTTCCTATTGCAGTGAGCTCTAAAAGTGGAAGCCTTAAGATACTATGGGAAAGGAACAATAGGAACTTGTGAGGTATGGAAGCCAGACTCACTTTTAAGATTCCATCACAGTGCTGAATAAAATGGAAAGAATGCTGTTAAATCTGAGTTCT